TCGGTACTTGCTGTACAGCACAGTTAGGACTTTAGTAACATCTGCAGCCTGCAAATGAATAGCGGCGCTTAGCAGCATCGGACGCTCCATAGATTTTTCAGTAGATAGCTGTGAGCATTAAAGGGCCTATTACTGCACTGCATTTGCATATGCGCCTAATGCATAAGCATGTGCGATAATACGGTGATTCCAGATCGCACGTGGAGGGATCTAAAAATTGATCTTCATGCACGCAGCTGAAGAATTCAAATTCAAAATTACACGTTGAATTCGTATCAAGTGCAAATGCTAGATATGAAAAGCGGTATTGCGCATTCCTTATGAAATCGGATCTGTGGGAGCCTAAAGTAAAATTTTGAGTATGAGTATGCCAGAAGGCCTGTCCCTCGAATCGTATATGACGGCATTTGTGCTTCCATAATTTTAGCATTCTTGGCTTTCCTGATTTTGAAGCTGATTTTTCACGACGCACATACACTTACATACGTAGGCCTGAACTGTGTTGCGTCAAAACGTATTTTTATGATGACAAAATGCATAAAAAGTGATAAAGCTCTATAACTTGATTTTTCACATCTTTGCAGGTCCAGCATGTGAAAAAAAAGAAAGATGAGCTGGAGATGTGCGGCCGTAATGGTTCCATCGATTGCAGCCTCGATGAACCAACAAAGTTCGATCTCGTTTTGTTTTGCAAACTTCTGTTTGTTTGTCTCTGAAGTTTTCATTAAAATTTTTTGATCAGAATTTTTTTTTAGCTTTTTCGTCATCGAAAACGTTGGGTTTGATCCCACAGAAGTGCGGCTACGCAGAGTACGTCAGTACAATCCGAGCCACCATCGTCCCCTCTGTCTCAAGTGGGGCAAGCTGCTGCAGGTTTGCCTTCATTATCGTTGGCTGCTTTATTTTGCTGATGATGTGTACGGTTCTAAAAAGTTCTGGCGCTTGAGACATGCAAAATCTTGTCTCATTTTGGCTCTTCAAAAGGCAGAGCTCCCAGTTCTGCTAAAGCGAACGCCGTGTCTGCTAACAGACATTCAGATGATTGCAGTTGCGATCCCTCGTACCGGAAATTAAAAACCATTGCTGTTTTGAATAGTTCCGTCCAGATGCATTTTTTAAGCGAAATAGCGAAATAAAATTTTGCACTTGGAGCTGTTCGTTGCTCGGAATGAAGTGCCGTTTCTTGCAGGTAAAGCTGGTCAGACCGATGGACGCGGATGCACTGCCGCCAGATGGGCAGTTCGTATTCCATGTAACAGCGAATTACCGAATGTGCCATAAT